CGCATAATACGATTTAGGGTTGTCCAAAAGAGGAGACCCCTATTCAAACCACTGCTACTAATGGCCCAGGAAGCTTTCATGGAGTTGTAGACATGCTGCTAATAAATGCGCAAAGTCTGCTTAACAAATTGGTTTAACTACAACTACTCATCGCGCAGAAGCGCCCTGCGATTATTGTGGTGACGGAAACCTGGCTGTTTGAATCAGTAACGAATAGAAAGATTAATGTCTTCCCCTGGGACCGTAATGATAGGAAACAAGGGGATGTCTTGGTATATGCTACTGACGGCCTAGTTGTATCAGTGCTAGAAAGCGCAACCACAGAATATTATTGTGTGGTTGTCGGTCAAGGCCACTACTGGTGCAACTACAACCATGGGTGTTATATACCGAAGTCCTCAAGCTAACGGTATTAGGTGGTTGACTACAGTCAAGAAGTACGCCAGAAGGTCGCGGGTCTGCATTGTTCGTGACTTTACTTGTCCACGTATTAACTGGTCTTATCTTATCCTTGAAGGCCCTGCCTCTGAAACGGAGATAGCATTTTTATCAATGGTAAACGAAGCTCATCTCGTACAACATGTTGCCCAGCCTACGCGGATAACTGATTCGGTTATGGCCTCCTGTCTGGACTTGATATTCAAAAATGGCCATTCATAAAGTACCTGATGTGAGGGTCTCTGCAACCCTCGTGACCAGTGATCACGTTACTGTCTAAGCAGCACTCCACATAACCGGATCGCCGTCAATGCGTAGATCCTACAAACCGCTATACTGGAAGACGGATTATGACGAACCAAGGCAGAGCGTTATGAACCTATCCTGGAAAACAAGTAGCTCTGCCAATGTAGAAGAACGCTGGAACTTGATTCGTGGCAATATTGAGCGGCTCCGTGCCGCATTTGTCGCCCTGAACCTCTGTGGACGGGCAGCATATCGCCCCCCCCCCATGGATCGATGGCGAGACAAAACGCAAGCTGAAGGCCAGGAAACGTGTCAAGAAGGCCCTCATGGTCTTGAGAACAGGCAAAGCAAAAGCGACATGCAAAGCTATCAGAGATGAATGCAGGCGCATAATAAGGTCAAAGAAAGAAGCATACGCAGAAGATCTGGTGCAAAACGTTGACACCCAGCCCAACCGATTTTATTCATTCCTGAAAAGAAAAATGCATGCAACACCGGGCATTCAGAATCTCCACAATACAGATGATGTGCTCCAAACAGATGAGTTATGTATGGCTGAACTTTTAGCTGAACAATACTCCACTGTCTAATTATCACCAACGCCCGACAGTGAAGACTTCGACATCCCTGG